GATGTTAAAAGACGACATGGCCTGAGTTCACTAAGTGCCCGAGAATTGAGATAGTAATTATCTTACATTGTCCTTTTACTAACCATGCCGGATAATGTTCAAAGATGCATTTGGAAAGCGTGCGCTTTGTTCGGGCGGCCACTATAATAGCTCCACATTAGCAGGTGAATTTATAAACACACATTGAGATGGCCCAAAGCAGCAGTTTATCCCTCACATATCGGCTGGAGCTCGGCCATAAAGAAGGCTTTCCTCAGTGATCTGCATAAGCGATTCTTCAGGATCTCAGATGCGGCATCATTTTTAAATTCAACACTCATTCAATTCAACACACTTCTGAGAATTTATATCAATCATGTCGCGCCTTATTACTCAACTATAGACTACTATATATTTTTTGTAAGTATAAATACGACTGTACAGCCTCTGAAGATGATTTTGTCGATAAAAAAGAATTTTCTTCGCTGAATTTGTCTTTTAGTTCCCCGAAATGACAATCTCATCCGTCTTGCTTATGCTTGAAACGATGCTACCTATATAAGGGAATACGGTAGTTTTCTTGAAGTTTCTCCAGTTGATAGTAACTGATGCTTGTCCCAGTTGGGTAGGCCTCCTCATCACCTCTGTCTTCTCTGCGTTCACCTGAATTTTCGCTATTGATGTTTCCTCTGTCTACGCGTCAAGTTTTTGCCCATAGGCTTTAGAGTTTAATTAGCGGAGGGTGACTAGCAGTGGAATCCACCAGGATGAGCATTTCGTCCCATTTAGGACTCGTTATTGACTGGATGTACTTGCATTCCCAGTGAGTGATGATGTTCCATCGAGACTCTAACCCAGTGCCAAAGCGGGTTATCCACTAGACCACTTGGGCAATGAGAACCACCTCTTGTGCAAAGGGTCATATGGATTATTTAACTGAATGCAGGTACATTCAGATGTTGTGTCCCAAATAGGACGAAATGCGCATCCCGGTGGATTCCATACTGCTAGTCACCATCCACCAATTAAATTGTAATTAAATGCCCAGACATTTTTTTTTGATTTACAGCTTGATTCCACACTGTATTTTTGGTACAAGTGTGGAATTTTCAGCGTGGATATCGGTAGCCCATATTTTGCAGGCCGACCATAGATATCAGGTGTGCACCGGCGTGGGCTCGAACCCTGGACCATGTGCATGGTCGGCGAGCGTCCTAACCACTGTGCCACCGACGCACATCGTCGAAGCATTTGCACAAGAAGCCAACAGACATGTCAGCCTGAGACCGAGCACTTCGGTCCAGTCAGTCGACAGTAAAATCTAAAAATTTAATTGAAAGGCTTTAGAGTTTGTCTGAGATGAAACATAAATCACTCGCGAGATCTAATGTCTGTTCTAAGGTCTTCTTTTCGAGCCAACGTATGCCTGTTTTATCGGTCCTCCTCACCATGCACAGTCTGACGTATAATCCAGTACACCACCACAGTCAAGAATAATGTTGATGATAATAGGCAACAGTCTTGTCTTACTCCTTATATATCCCTTCAAAAGCTTTGCTGAGTTCTCCATTTTCCCGTGTCACTTGACAGGTGACATCACCATATAGCTAGCTGTTGATAGTAAGGTTGATAAAAGGTCCAGATTAGTTCGTGGTGTTGACGTAGCTTCTGAGTCACTTCAATGGTCAATAAGGTAGTGAAACATAGTTGTTGAATGAGACTGGTTAGGTTTTAAGGGAATTTATAGCATGGTAGAATTCCGATTGGAAATTTTTGTTCAATATATGTATTGCCTACTAAAAGGATGGTAAAATGTCATCACTCAACCGAGTAGAAAATCACTCAGACGGATCAGTAGTCAAAAATAATAACAACAGCAACAACGCCAACCTGAGTGAGAACAATATTTTGACAATACTTAAAAAAGAACTGTCTCTATAGGAATCAATACAAGACCTCAGAGTTGAAAAGTTGCGTAGCGAATATCTCCTACCTCACCTATAATCGGAGAAAATTAAGTAGAAATATACCTAAATATTAATGAAACTCTTCTGGTTACAAGGCTGGAGAGCTGACTCGTAGACCATCAAGCCACTGAGGCCTGATCCAGTGGCCAACCCATGAATTCTAATTTCTGCCAATTCACAACATAGCGCAACCACTTCGCAATATGTATTCTTCAATGAGTCCCAGTGGCTTAATCGTCCACGAGCTCGTTAGCCCTGTAAAACCGGGTTTCAACAGTATGTCTCCCTCTCATTCTATTTTCTGCTATCCTCTTCATCTAATCTCTTGATTACGCATAGTCTCTCATCTCCCCCTCCATGTCACACTTAGACGACACACTCATTGTTCCCATTACCATTCCACTCAAGTGATGGCCTCCACTGCGCCAGATGTCATTCGAAGTTCTCTCCACTGAGTTGCCAATCTATCTCCATTTTCTCCTACATTTTGTTGAGCTATCGGTTCTTGCTTGTTGGTTTGTTGCTAGCCAGAGTTTCTTCGTTGATTCTTCGTTGTCGCCCCCCCCCAGCCATCTGATCTTCATTACGAAACTGGCGAAGGCAGCTGTTGTTAAACGCCTGCAGTTGCTTTTTGAAAATGCCTTTCGCAACCAGCTGACATAGTTTTTAATCCATATTGTAGAGGGTTCTAGTGGGAAGCCGTGACCAGTAGGGTACGGCTGGTTGAAGATGAGGCAGTAACTCATCGAAGAAGACGTTGCAAAGTGATCGCGCTATGTCGTGAATTGGCAGAAGTAAGAATTCATGGACTGGTCATTAGATCGGGTCTCAGTGACTCAATGGTCTACAGGCTGACTAGCCTTGTAACCAAAAAGGTCCTGGGCTTTAACCCTGTCTCTGGGTGAGTAACGTGAAGAGTCCCAAACTAGAACGAAACAGCTGACCATAACTCCCAGGTTTTCCAGTGGTTCTCTAACTGGTGTCAGCTCATGATGAAATCCTCCATGAAATCATATCGAAGAGAGGCTCAAAAATTCTGTTGAAAATCCGTATTTTATTTTTTCATGCTGTTGAGTTCAGAAGATTTGCAAAACGGATTTCAGAGTGATAAAGGTGTCTTGACTTTCCAATTCTACTTGATCTAAACATCCTCATCCGTGTTCAGCAGTGCTTGTAGTTGAAGTGGTACTGCCCAGATAAGTGAAGTAAGCAATTTCTCTGCAAAATATCTCCCGTTGTCGGTGATTTATGCTGCTTATTGTTGTTACTGGGTGGTTGGTTATTTTCATTAGCTCCAACTTCTCAATGTTCATCATCCGAAGTCCTGTCTTCTCTGCGCATGTTTGTTGGCTCTCGCCTGTAAGTCTTCGAGTTTGTGTGAGTGACATTAAACAAAAATCATCCATAGGCGAAATCCAGATATTCTGAAGTCTTCTTATCTGTCGTCCAGTGTATTCCTATCTCCACTCATTAATGTGTTCCGTAATCCACCAGTCCACCACAAAACCCAGCAATATCATCGGTGATAATAGGCAGTGGCCTTGTCTTACTTGCACATGTCTTAACTTCAAAGGCGTGGCTGACTTATTCTGCTGTGGATCAGCTGACAAGTGTCATTGTCATATAGCCGTTGAATGAGCTTACTTTGCAGCCAACGCTGTGAGTCTAACGTTGATTTAGAGCGAGATCTGACTGCAACTCTATGCTTCATCGAATGATGATAGTGATGACAGTGCGTACGGTTACAATTTGATCCTCACATTGTGGTGAGAGCTGTCTGCTTGCCAAAATCGGTTGACAGTAATTTACGTAAATGTTCACGTCGTCAATATTAGTCGTGAGAAAAATACGAAGAATGACTGATTCAACAAACAACCGCAGTAGACTTTGCGTAGGCGGATACAATTGCAGATAGACAATCTGAACTTCAAGAAACGGCCACAAAAGATGAAAGATTAACGTTCAGCGAGAAACCACCAATCAGAAGACTGTGTTTTTTCTGCTAACAATAATCTATAATAATGTACATGAATATCTATAAATATGTGTTGATTTCCTAAATAAATGATCTGTTGATTAGCCTTTGTCTTCTGTTGTTACATTTGGTGTCGCTGCCTACAAACAAATAGCAAGACTATGCCCTGCAGATTTTGATGGAGACATATGGATCTTCGGTCAGGACTTCGAGGCTTCTTCGCAGTTGAGTGACGTTCAAGATCTGTCAGCGATGTGGCTGTTACTTGGGACGCAGCTGGGAGGTCAGGAGAAAGCAGCATATGAAAGTGTGAGGCGAAATACTGACGAATGTTCGACAGGGTAAGGCAAACAGTTTCCAGAGTTGGAAGGACCACATATGGTAACGTCGAGACGGGGTTACGCCAACACAATCGCAATGGTAAACAGAGAGAAACAGGTGAACATCAGTGAGCGGCGAGATTCCAGACAACAAGACAAACGTACAAAGCCTGTGGAACGAAGAAGACCGAACCAACTTCAGTCGGAAGTCGTTGACGGGGGGACTAGTGTGGTGATAGCTGTTTACGTTCCCAATATTGATCGTTAGAAAATAGAAGAACAAACACTGATTCAACAAGCAACCACAGCAGTCATTGCGTAGGCAGATACAGTTAGGATATAAACGATCTGTCATTCAAGAAACAGCCACAAACAGATGAAAGATGAAGGTTCAGCGAGAAACCCCCAGTCAGAAGACTGTGTTTTCTGGCTAACAATAATCTATAATAATGTACATGAAAATCTATAAATACGTGTTGATTTACTAAATAAATGATCTGTTGCCTGACTCTTGTCTTTTGTCGTTACCACATGATTTACTTTCCCTGAATCCAGTTTGTTGCGGGCTGACAGATTTCTGCATACGCCGGGATCAGCAACATATAAATAAATATTCAAATTTACCGCTTCGAATATGAAAAAATGTCAATTTTATGCATAGATGACATGCATAATATATATCCTACGGATAAGCAAAGATAGTAACATCAAAATATAATAATAAACACCAAAATATGATTAACTGGTTAGTTAACTCACAACATATGACAACTGCTCAGGGCGTAAAGGAGATGAAATCTGGAAAACAAAAAAAGTAAAAACAACAATAGTTTGAAAAAAAAGAAACAAACGGAAAATCAATTATTTTCGCTTTAAACCTAAAGCAATATAGACTGAAGGTTATTCAAATATAACAGAACAAATGTGTCGCAATTATAGTACACTCATAATCTTGTATCTCTGGGATTTCTTAGCAATACGCCGTTTATTGTCGTTATTAGTCATTAGCCAGTTCACTCAAGCAGCTGACAAGGATGGGAGTGGATTGAACTTAATCTACTCTCCAGAGATGATTAAAACACTGACTGGACACTAACTCGTGTCATATGTCTAATCCTCTGTTTGGTACAGACCAACTTCTCATCAGCTAAATTTTTGTGCAATATGACCAACATGCCACTAGGTGGATCGTCATCACAATGCACTCAGAAGTGTGGTTATTAGATGGCTGGATGCTTTGGACTTAGGTTTCGTGCAGACACTCACCAGTCAGCAAGGCATATCTGCAAACTTGAAGGAACTCATGTCTGTCCTGAGATCCGAACCCGTGTCACCCAGTGTTGCAGCCACAGATGTTACCACTTGGGCTGAAACCCAGGAGTAATGGACAGCTGCTTCGTCCTAGTTTTGCACTCTTCAACAGTACGCACTCACCGGGGTGCGAACTCAAGGACTCCTGGTTAAAAGGCGAGCTCGTAGACTATTAAGTCATATGAGTCCCTTCAAAGTTACAGGTACACCTGCCTTGCTGACTGGTGGTGAGTGCCAAAAAGCATGACATCTACGTCAAAAGTTCCCTGCCGTTTGATTGCCCCCAACTATCGAATAACAACGAGTTAAACATGGTGACATACTGAAACATTCGGCCTTTGACGGACGAATCTACCATCTGGTATATCAGACCACTTCGATTTGATTCATACACACACTACCTACTGCATATGAGCGGTTATCAACCAATCATCACAACCTGTAGTGTATATGCATTATGATGCAGCTGTGAGGCACTAGTTTTCAAATATTTGAACTTTTAATAACTAAAAATCCGCTTTTTTCACCACTCAGTTTCAAAAGTCAGGTCTTATTGTTACATAGAAACTAACTCAAGCATTAAATACTTTGGAGTATTTCTGCCTTCCCACCTTCCAAGATCATCTCATATCTTGTGGACCTATAAGAAAATGTTTCGGCTAACCACCTTCTATATTAAGAAGTTTAGATAATCAGGTATCCCTCCACCTCTACTTTTACAGTTTATTAACTCTTTCATCCTACTTATTGTTCTCTATTACTCCCCAGCCCTCCCAAGTCTTCTGTGAGTTACTCAAAAAGGACTATCCCATATTATAATGGGAGGGGGGCACAAAGCACACACCTTTCAAACGCATAAGTGAACGTTATACAGCATGGGTAGCAAAATAAAAATGAAAGACTCTTACTAGCTCGGTGGCACAGTGGTTAGGACTCTCGCCGACCATGCACATGGTCCGGGGTTCGAGCCCACGCCGACGCACACCTGATATCTATGGTCGGCCTGCAAAATTTGGGCTACCGATATCCATGCTGAAAATTCCATACTTGTACTAAAAAAATAGTGTGGAATCAAGCCGTAATAAAAAAAAACTCATGCCACGCAGGTCCACCAGAGTTGTCTTTAAAGTTTATCGACAAAGTGATGCTGAATGGTAAAAAATGGCGTTAAGTCTCGGTGTATTTTTGTATGACAGAGGCGTCAACAATTCGTCAATACATTACCGAACTCTGTATACAGGAAACATTTGTCCAGTCTTCGATTCTACCATGGTTTAAACCGCCTCATTAATCGTTCTTACTCAATAACAATTTTTAACCTTATCAAATTTCTACTCCCCCTCCTCTCCGCTTTGTGCCGTTGAGAATTACATAATTTATAACTTTTAATCTTACTTTTGAAGCCACTTCTTAGCTAAAAATATATCAATTATATCAACCACCCTGTATTATTGCTAATGGACCACTATATACTTTTAGTAGATATAAATACGACAGACAGTACAGCCTCTGAAAATGATTTCATCAGTTAAAGAGACATCTTCTTTGCTGAATTGTCTTTATGGGTATTTAATGGAAGCATTTATTAAGAAATGAGAGGAGAATCCCAGGATAACAAAAGTTTCACAGTGTAGCTGAACAATTTTTTTGAACTAATATTAAGCCTGAAGTTGGTACATCTTTTCATATAAGTGCATCGGTGGCACAGTGGTTAGGACTCTCACCGACCATGCACATGGTCTGGGGTTCGAGCCCACGCCGGCGCACACCTGATATCTATGGTCGGCCTGCAAAATTTGGGCTACCGATATCCATGCTGAAAATTCCATACTTGTACCAAAAATACAGTGTGGAATCAAGCTGTAAATCAAAAATCAAAATATCAAACTTGGGCACTGTGATGGTTGAGTATAACTCCATTAAGGATAAGACTTCATTTGATAAGTCATACACTGGTGTTGTACAGTAATGTTGACTGATGACCTCATTTGGAGCATAAATGATTACTCCTCATAATCATATGAAGGCACTCACTCACACAACTTTTTCCTTCATTTATATACATGTGTGTGTGTGAAAGTGACTGGATATTTGAATAAAAATCAATATACGATAATGTACATTCAGAAATAATAATATGAGTGTTATTGATCAACTACAATCAGATGGGAAATAAGACGAGTGTTTTTATAGTCATAATAAGGTGAGTAACTTGTTAGAATGTTGTGATGTGTGTGATTGAATTGAAATAGAATTTTGAGATTATTTATTATCCTCTTCTGATTTGACTGACTGACTGATTGGTGGTAATAATATCTTCCATACACATCTTTGGTATTTGCATTGAGTCATTTCGGTTCCATGCGTTGGGTGTAGAACCAGTCAGGATTCAGTTATCAACCTCTCTCGCTCTCCACCTACATAGGTTACTTCTTAGAATCTTAACCCTCTCCCACCATTTACTGTGGTTTTATGTTAATGAATGTAGTGCAATCACTGAGTGTTTTACTAAATTACTTATCTTCTCTTGGTTAACCATTCTTACCTTAGCCAAATTAATAATTGTACATATTTTAATAAATATGATAGAGAAGATTTGTAGCTCAGGTGGATGATTTTGATGTGGTTTTGTTCTCTGAGCTGGATGGTTAGTTTGCGAAGCTTTTATCATCCTACTGGGTGACATCTTCAGCGCACACTTCAGTTAGAAGTGAGCTTCAAGATTTCTCCACGAGTTTATTAATCATCTCTCCCGGTGGGTGACCTAGGACGTGATCGGTTGTTTATGTGCGTTTTCACACCTTCTAGGTTACTTGTATTGGAACTGATTGTTTCTTTGACTTGAACTTTGACCCTTTGTGTGTGAAGTTTCTTTCTTATTGGTTGATAAATTTTGTCTATCTCGATGTGTCTATTGATTGATGATTCACTGGAATGCCAGCCAAGCTCCTAAAAATTCTCTAGCATTACTGTTATTTCCTTTGTCTAATATTTGAACGTTGTCCCAGTCGAATTGAGGTCCGTGGTTGTCTGTGTGTAGTGAAATGAGGGAGTGGATATCATATCTTTCGACGGCTAGTTTATGTTCGTGGATACGAAGACGAAAGGGACGGATGCCCACTTTGGCCAATGTAGTGTTTTTCGAGGTTGTTACAATTTATTATATAGATGATGTTGGTTTTGTCTTCTTTCGCTGTTGAGTCTTTTGGTTGACATAGAATTGAGTGCAGCGACTTTGTTGGTTTGTGTACGACGTCAATTCCTGAAGGTTTGAAGAGTCTTGTAGTGATTTCTGAGATATCCTTTATATATGGTAAGGTGATTTTCTTTATGCTTTCCTTGGTGGCTTTTGCTTTGGTAGGTTGGTTTGGGGGTATATGTCTCTTGATGAAACTCCGTGGATATCCATTCTTTTGGAAGACGTCCATGAGATACTTTTCTTCAATTTTCCTTAAGGTGGGAGTGCTGCAGTGAACCCTTGCTCTCTTGAATAGTGTTTGTATGCAATTCCTTTTGTGTGTTATTGGGTTGTTGCTGTTGTTGTAATTCAGTATTTGGTTTGTGTGAGTTGATTTCTATAAACTTGTGTTTCTAATTCCCTGTTGTTGTTCGCCTGACTAAGAACTCCAAAAATGGTATTTTGTTCCTCTTCTCTTGTGAATTTGATGGTGACGAAAGCTTCGCAAACTAACCATCCAGCTCAGAGAACAAAACCACATCAAAATATTTTAATAAAGTTGAATTTAGTTGGAGGATTTCATCATGAGCTGACATTACTTAGAGGACTATTTGAAAACCACCTGAGAGTATTTCGGACAGCGAGCTGTTTCATCCTTGTTTGAGAGTCTTCACACCCACGTCACTGTAGGATAGGAATCAAGGAGCTTCTGGTTACAAGGCTAGTGAGGTCGAAGACTATGAATTCCAACTTCTGCTTATTCATGACATAGTGCGACTCCTTCGCATGGTGTTAGTTTGCTATATTCTTAATTTAAAAGAAGTAAGAATTCCTAGTTCGGCTGATTTCGGTCAAAGTGGTTCGGTGATCAGCAGGCTGACCTCATTCGATCGCTTAAGAGATCAATCACGAACCGATACCAGTTCAAACTCCAGTGGTTACATTCCAAACTAGAATGAAACAGCTAGCTGTCCAATACTTTTCGCTGATTTTCCAGTTGTTCTCCAACTGATTTCCGTGTAAAGATATCCAGGTTAGTTAGAGAATATATCAGTTCACCTGCTGCTGTGGAGCCAGGTACATTGGTCGTTCGACGCGCACCCAACTTCCAAGAGGATTCAAGAACATTATCCAGCCAGCATGATTGCGAAAAGGCAATAGTGGTGCAATAAGGAGTGCAATAATTGACCACCTGGTTAACCCTGATCATTCCATCTCAACAAACGCCTCCTGATTCAAAGTAATCTGCAGAGTCAAGAATAACCTACCAAAAGCAATATGTTTTCGTCTTCTTTGTATCGTTGAAGCT